TGGGTGAAGAATTACAGAGCTGCTGACCAGTAGCAGGTTCTGCTGTTTGCCCTCGCCTGCTGCCCATCTGTGGACAAGTTGGAAGGCTGTGGCCAGACAACTGATAGCAACCTGTGCTGCTGTGGGGACTGGAAGTCCATAGCAATGACAAAATCTGGTCTTCAGTGTTTATCTCTGGATGTGTATGTGGTTGGTTATAGGCAAATGACCAGTTTTGCACTTTTGATGCATATATGATATACCATAAATTCAAGATGATCCACTTGCACAGGCATCTCACTTGTACGGATTCCTCTCTTTTTGAAGGGACTAAGATTTGTACTTCAAGGTTCTCAGCCTGTTTCTCAACATATGGCCAAAGGGTATGCAAGGCTATGAAATGGGCATGAAAATGCTTTGCATTTCGTGGAAGTGTTGTGCAGTTTGAATAGTTAATGTGTGTGTATGCGTATGCAGAGCTTCACATTAAAAGCACTTGCATAGCATTTGTGTGTAAATACAGGTTTCTACCGCTGTATACATAGCTAATATCACGTTATTTCTTATACCCCTACTTCCCTGTGGGTTTTGTAGGTAACAGGAGTCAAAAAATAATGTGATTTTCTATTTTTATAGGGCCCTAGCAGCTAACATCATTGCCATTGTGTCTGGCAGCTCTACAGAACCTGGCTTGTGTGACTAAATTGTACTCGTATGAAGCATGCCATTAAAACGGGAACGGTTGTTCAACAGATTAAGGATTCCTAGGATCAAGTACTTAAAGTGAACTTAAAAAACCCACTGGAACACCTACTTACGTCGGTTAAAAAACCCCAACTCCTCCCCACCCATCCCCATCACCCCCAGCTTCCCCCCTCGTCCCATGTAATAAGTGTATTTAAAGTCAGTCTGTTGTTCAGCTAACGCTTCAAAGTGATGGAAGCGCAAAAGAAGTCCTGCCTTACCAGCGTTTACAGAGTCTCATTCCTTTTTTGCTCTGTCCGTTTTCAGCTGGATCGGTTTCCTGATCCGCTGTGTTCTGTGGCCACCAAATCCATGTGTTGGCAAAGAGGCGTGGTGGCACAGGAGTGAGGGTGAATGCTTGGAGGATGGAGGTACATGACACTGGAGCTCGAGGGTTGATTTGTTACATGAGAAGTCACAGAAATCTGCTGAGACTGCCAGGTTAATGTATTTACTATAAACAATTTAGTTTTTACAAGTTATTCAGAGTTAACTATCTTTGCTTTTATTTGAGCAAGAGTGATGCTGACCTTCTGTCTTCCGGAAGAGAATGCCTCATCTAATTGCAGTATTTCCTTAATCAGCAATTGCATTGTGCCCTTGCTGCTTCTCTGCTGTTGAGGGCAGATGTTGAAAAATACCTTGGCCAAAATAATACAAATATATATTGAAGATACACATGCGCCCCCTGTGTGGTATATACACATAAATATGTAAAATTTCAAATACCCCAGTATAAGTGACTCTCTTCACAGACTTGGTGCCCTAACCACTTCTAGTAGCTGTAATTTTAGGATTTTGATCTCACCTTTTAAATATTCAAGTATTTTTAATTTAAACCCAGTTATTATCTAGGGAGTTGATAATTGGGGTTTCTGAAGTGCTCGTCCCAGCAAACATATCAAACTCTTTTTTCCTGGTTTGGAAAGCGACTCTCCTATCTATTTTCCAGATTCACAGTATAAATTGGAATGAATAATATTACTGGTGCATTAGTTAGGAAATTAGACTAATAAAGACCAAATATAGCTAACAAAAATTTAGTGAAGGAGAATGAGGAAATGCCTTTCAACCTGTGTATTGTGCTACAGCATCTCCCTCTGTACAGACAGCATGGATGTAGATACGCAGAGATTAATCCGGTCAAGATGAAACTAAAATACCATGGAGTAGGAGATCTTGTGTGTGACTGGTTTTGCTTCCACATTAAACACAGAAGGTCAGCAGATTATAGGCAGAGGGCAGGACTGCCAAAAGAAAACACGCCAAAATGTTTCATAAATTGTATCAGAGAGAATGAATGTTGTGCATTGCCGCAGGGCTTTCCAGGAAGGGAAGACCTGTGCGATGAATAAATAGCTAATCTGATTGCAGGTAATTTATTGCTGTGATTAGTGCTATATAGTCCTTCCTCAGGGAAGAGGAAAGAAATGGATGAGACTTCCTCTTGCTGCTTCCCTTTGCTTGGGCCAGGCTTTTGCTGTGTTTGCGTTTTGATGAGTGGTGTTGCTCACCGCTAGCTCCCGAGACAGCTCCGGAAAAGGAAAGCAAAACATGACTGGTTATAAAGTCGGGGGTCTAGGCGGGGAGCCTGGTCAGATCTTGGTGCCCTTTCCTATGGTCAATATTGAAGTGTGTACTAGAATGGAGCGGAGCCCATCTCGTGTCAGCGCTGGATGGGGGACCTGGGTCTGCAGCACCGCTGAGCTAGGGCGTACGGGTGGGTGTCGATGAACCTGGGGTTTCCCCTCCAGGGCTAGTTTTGCCTTATTCCTCAGTCCTGGCGTTGGTCCTTAGGTTTCATTGGTGGGACCATGTCCTGGGCTCCCCAGCAGCACCGGGGAGAGGCTGTTCTCTCCCAGGACCCCTGGCGCTATCCTGGCTCTCAAGAACTCACCGAGCAGAGCCTCTCTTGAGTCTTAACAAAATCAACAGCTGCCTTGACACCAATTGCAGTAACAGCAGTTTGGTTTTCCGTACTGATTTCGGGTGTTTATATAACATATATAATGTTACACTCGCATGTTTTGTGCCACCAGCGGCTTGTCTTTTTGTGTCCTGCGTGTCTTCAAAGTAAGCCCTCTTTTTCAAGGTGTCAAGAGAAAAACCCATTCACTTCAAGCAAAAATATTCCAGACTTAATTGGACATAATGTCAGCAAAATGTCCTGATTTTCACATCCTCCAAAATAAATGGGAGAGAATGTAAAACCTGAACATTTATCCAGTAAGATGAGAACTATTCTCTGCTAAAACTGGCCAATGTTGATAACTTGGCAGAAACCTGAATTTAACTTCTCTGAGAATTTAATCACATCTGGCTTGTTTTGGGGGATTGATAGTTATGACAAGTGTATCAAATTTCATGCCAGTGGTATCTTTTATGTTTCCTGAGAGAGGAGAAAATAGCAATTTTACCTTGTGCCCAGGAGTCACGGAGAGCAGGAATTGTAGGTACCTGCCACATCAAGTTTTTAAATAAAAATGAATTGCAGAGCAGCATGTAGCAGAGATGGGGAGGGGGAGGGAAGAGGGTGAGGCATAAACTGTAGAGGAGCATTTATTGCATCTGCCCCAGCTTTTAATCTAATGCAGCACTGCAGAGAGTTATGAATATGTATGATCTGCATTTCGTTCAGATGTGAGGTGTCTATGAAGATATCTGCTTGGGTTTTTTTTTTTCAGGGGTTTTATAGCTTTTTGTTTTTCTATCCAGAATTAACTAATTTTGCAAAGCTAATGTTTATATACACATCTTATGTAATTCCTGTTTCCGTGATGTAAATACTGAAAAGTAAAGGGTTTTGAGTAGTTCCTTTTGAGTCTTATTTAGGGGAAAGTTAATCTTCTTATAAATACTTACAGCTTTACTTCAAAAGTTAGTTTAAAAAAAAACCAACAAACAACACAAAGCCAAACAATTTTGAAAGTTGAAAGACAAGTTCTAAACTAGAAAAGCCACATCCATTTAGGAGAACAGCATTCATGAGAAATACATAGCATCCAATTCTGTGTTCCTTGAGGCAGATGTTGGGAGTACCAGCAGTGGAAGCTGGACCCATCGATTTCCACATATATTTTGCTGCCTTTGTGGTGGTGGTGGGGGGAAACCCAAACCAAACCCAGCCTTTTCTAAATGATTGTTAGGAATATACATCAAAATGAATGATTTGGTGTAAGACTAGGAAATCAGGCTTATGGTGAACGCAGTAGAAGGGAGATGCGAGTTTGGTTTTAGCTTGGCTGCAAACTTAAGTGTGACTTTTGGCAAGTCACAGTGGGACAGATTTTGTAAGACAACCTAACTTCTATGAAGACGCCACAGTATGGGATGACATTTTTAAGGGAGCTCAGCACCCAGTATGTTTATTTGGAAGATCTGGCACTGGTTGTTGGTACCAAATACTTGAAAATCTGTCTCTGAACTCCAAAAATCTGGTTCCGTGTGCCTGATCCATGCCTCTTTGAAAATAGTTGCCCTGACTTGAGGTGATCAAGCCTGTACTCTTTATCTGTGACCCTCACAGTAAATGAATTGCCTGTTTCCTACCTGGTGTCTTCCTTGTTTGTTCATTTTCTTCTCTGTGTGTACGTATTACTGAAATGAGATACTACCATAAACTGAATTATAATGGTAAAGTGAAAGTCTGTTGGAAGTGAATTGAAGTTCTGAAGAACAGGCTAGGTCTGGAATAAAGGCCGCGTCTTGAACGCTTTGCGTTCTATGCAAATTAATCCAAATAACTGCATAATTTAAGAAACCACAGCACCAGCAGCCTAATTCAGTACCCGATGCCTGGTACCCTCATGACATACTTTTGAGGTGACCTGCATTCTCTGGGCTACCCACCCACTCAAGCGCTTGAGGTACCTCAGTGCAGGTCACTCTTGTGGATTAGGACTCAGGACTCCAGAGTGTGACCCAGTACCGTGACTTGAGCGTTAGGGGTCACATCTTGGGCTGATCTACGTCAGTGTGCCATCAGCTGAAGGCAAGGGAGCGGTGGCGGGTTGTGCCGCCTTTGGAGCTGGTTTGGTGCCTACCAGCTTGTTTTGTTTAATGCTTTTTGTTATGACGTTGCTTTCTGTGACATTACATTTTTAACACAGTTTCATTCAGTGGAAGAGAAGCGATATTAGTAACTTCTGCTCAACATGGAGATGCACACAGATCTTGGGTATTTCATTCTGTCACTGCTAGCTGTCTGCTTATTGTGCCGGCAATGCTGGTGTGGGAGGAAAATGTGCTAATTAAGTCCTCTTTTTTTGTTATTTCAGGAAACCTACCATATGAATATAAAATAGTGATTGCTGGGAATCATGAACTGACATTTGATAAGGAATTCATGGCAGACCTTGTTAAACAAGATTACTACCGCTTTCCCTCTGTGTCCAAATTGAAACCAGAGGACTTTGACAATGTTCAGTCACTCCTGACAAATAGCATTTACTTACAAGATTCCGAGATAACAGTTAAAGGATTCCGAATATACGGTGCCCCATGGTAAGTCTCAATTTAAACTT